GTGACAGATGAAAAATGTGACTATAAATGAGGTTTAAGAAGAGATTTATCAATGAATGACTTGGCTTTGAGTCTGTTTCTCATGCAAAGCTGTCAGATGAGTTCAAGAGTGAGAATATATAGACTGCAAGTCGTAGCCTATTTGAGGTTTTTATGGTATATTTTGTCCTTGGCAGAATAAATCACAGTCCATTTCAGTTGTATTGAAAACAGAGGTTGTTAAAAGTTTGAGAAAATTAATTAATTTTTGGAGTGAACCAGGGTTATTATTTACATTTATGCATTTCGTAGATTCTTTTATCCAAAGGAACTTACATTTCTAGCACCATGATTTACAGAAATATTATAGAAATTTAATATTTTAAATAAGCTCTTTATTTTTATTTTTCAGTTTTCATTTTTTTAAGTTTGTCATTTTGGTTGTCATTTAAAAAAATTTTTTTTTTTTTAGATTTAATTCATTTATTTTGATTAATTTTAGTACTTTAAGTACTTTTAAGTTTGAGTTTTTCATCTAATTTGTATATTTGATATTTTTCAGCTGTATTTCAATGAACAAAAACATATTTTTTTTAAATTTCAATTTAGCTTTAATTCATTTTTATTTAGGCTTTAAAGTAATTTTAGTACTTAAACTTTAAATTTTTCCATTAATTGCCAATGAAATATTTCTCTTTTATTTCTAGTTTTACGCTTGTTTTTCAACTAATATATATATATTTTTTCAGCTTTATGTCAATTACCAAAAACTTTGTTCTATTTAGCTTTAAGTCATTTTTATTTCGGTTTTAAAGTAATTTTAGTACTTAAACTTTTAATTTTAGTTTAAGTCTCCAAGGTTCCTGGCTGTCCTGGAAGGAGTTGATGAACCCAGCTGTATAGAGCAGTTGTGATGAAACAATGGGTTTCCTGGAACCACGAGTAGTTCTGTCTTAGTAAGGTTGAGCTGAAGGTGATGGTCCTTCATCCAGCTAGAAATGTCTCTCAGACAGGCTGCAATGCGAGCAGCTACCGTCGGATCATCTGGTTGGAATGAGAAGTAGAGTTCAGTGTCATCAGCATAGCAGTGATGAGAAAAGCCATGCTTCTGAATGACAGATCCTGAATGACGACATGTAGCTGGAGAAGAGACGTGGTCCAAGCACTGAGCCTTGAGGAACCCCAGTAGCAAGAAGTTGTGACTTAGAAACCTCACCCCTCCAAGACACCTTGAAGGACCTACCTGAGAGGTAGGACTTGAACCACAGGAGTGCGGTTCCTGAGATGCCCATTTTTCTGAAGGTGGACTGGAGAATCTGGTGGTTAACTGTGCAAGATGAGTACTGAGGATTTGGAAGCTGCTCTTGCCAGTCTCAGGGCTTCAGTAACCGAGAGCAGGGCAGTCTCAGTTGAGTGGCCACTTATACCTTTTTATACCTTTTTCTACCATCTTATATTTATTTTAATTTTATTTGAGCTTTATATAATTTGATGAAAATAATTTTTTAATAGCTGTAGTTTTAATTGTTTTAAGATTGTGAACTGTTCCTTTTATAATGATGCATGATGAGGTGTAGAAGTGCCAAAATGCACCGCTTCAAGAGAAGTTGCCTTCATTAGCGCTCTAAAAATGCCGTTCTTCAGTCGCCTTCGAGGCTCTCTTTCTCTCCTGAAGACAAGCTGCAGCTTTTACACCCACTGACTCGTGATGGTTGTAAGAAACGCAGATAAATACGCCTCTCGCTGCCGTCTAGACGGATGGGATGATCAGAAATGAGTGTGTGTGTCTCCAGAGACATCTGTTTCGCTATCAGTCATGCACTTGGAGAGGAAGCGAAGGCCCAATCAGGAGGGATGTGAACCCGAGCCGGGCCGGTGTTCAGGGTGTGATCTCATTAACCCGAGCGACTCGGCTCACCTGCTCGAGTGTTGGTCATTAACCCGCAGCAGACGCTTCTCTCGCCTGCATTCATTTCAGCTCATTGTTTCTGCCTGTTGAGGTGAAGTCAATCCTCAGACAAAAAACCTCTTTTCAGTGTCTGTGACCTCCAGATGTGATTACTGCAGTGCGCCCCCTGGTGCCAGATGTAATGCACTTTTAATTTGTTCCCAAAAGAGAGGCACTCAGGAGGAAAGTTATTGCTCTATTAAACTGCCCTGCATCATATATGCTGAATCAAATCCAATATTTCTTTCTTACTAATTTTGTGCTGCTGATTCCAAAAATAGCCTGTTTTGCTGGAGCACGCCACACTTTGTCAGTAAATATGATGCATTTTGTAGCATTTTTGTTTTCGAGAGCCATTATAAGGTGAAGAAGTCTTGTATTTTCCCTTAATCAGAAAAAAAACTGGCACAAATACATGATTCCTGTCCGAATCTGAGCCAGATTATAGCTATTTGTTAAATTCTCAGCCCATTATTTTATTTATAATCCAGAATTATGGCTATTGAAAGAAGAAAATGCAAACACGAGCCTGATGTTTTCCGCTTTACTGCATCCAAACTGAAATGACAGATTTTGTGAAAAAAGCTCTTTTATTTATAAATGTGTGTTTATGTAAAGTTCTTTGACATTAAATGGAGTATGAACATATTTTTCTACTCCTTTACACATTGTAAGTTAAATGATGTATTTTGAATATTTAACATTTAAACATTTTGAGATTATATATATATATATATTATGATTTGAAAAAAAACTTCATTCATATTTTGTTTAATCTAATATTTATATTTTCTTTTTTCAGTTTTATTTCAATTAACATTTTTCCCTTTTGTCATTTGAATATTTTCATTTTTATTTCTGTTTTAGTAATATTTAATTTAAAGTAATCTTATGTGCCTTTTTAACTTTTATTATTATTTTGAATATCTATATTTATCATTAATTAGTTTGTATTTCCGTTTGAGTAATTTTAGTACTTTTAAATTTAGTTTAGATTTTAGTAATCTAATGCACTTTTGTCATTTTTATTTTTTATATTAATATTTATCAATAACTCATTTTTATTTCAGTCTTAGTCATTTTAATTCTTGAAGTTTAAAGTTTTAGCTTTTATATATAATTTGAAAAATCGTCATACATATTTTGTGAAAATATTACATGATGGAAAGTTTTTATTAATATACTTGAATTCAGCATAATCAATTTAGGAAATATTAGGCCCTTTTTATTGCAAATCAGCAGATTTTGTTATTTATTTATTTTTATTTTATTTTATTATTTATTTTATTTATTTCAAAATGCAGGGATGTGTAATAGATCAGGAGACATAAACTTTGTCTCAGACGTTTCTCATACAAATTTTTTATGGCGGAATTGACTTGAATTTGATGGGAAATATTAGACTTTGGATTTCCCACTTGGCAAATCTGAGCAGTTTGAGACCTTGTCGAGTCTCCATTTTCTCTCCATGCAGTCTTACCGCTGTGCTGGATAAAATTGAGTTTTTTTGACATTATGAATATTTTTGTCTGAGTGGCAGTGAAAAGGCATGTGAAGTCAGAGACCCACAGCGAGGTCTGGTGTCACAGGAAGGGAAATTAAATCTGAAAGTGCCTTTAACTATCATAACTTAATGGGGGACCAGATTAGTTTCTGATTTGCCCTGAAATAGTCATCATACAGGCATTATATGCAGCCTCTTTATGCTTGTGAAGGAGGTGACGCCCCTGACGACGAATAATGGCTCTGATTTTTCTCACTTCTGAGTGCTCGATGCTTTTGCTGGAGGGGAGTGAAGATATCAGGCCTATTTTCATTCAGATCTGCGACGCCTCTAAAATAGCGGGTGGTCAGAGCAGCGTGTTAGCGTTCACTTTCCCTGCTGAATCTCTGAATCGGCCATTATCACAATGTGCCGAGATGATTGCGCAGGTCATTTTCACGGGTACAGACTCCCGTCACATCTAGCAATTATTCCCAGAGTGCTGACATTACAGCTGTAATCATTTAGTGAGTCGGGAGGGGGTGAATAATCAAACGCCAATTCATGAGGGCTAAACTGGAGCTGCTGGCTGTAATTGTAAATCATAAAGCTGTAATTGATTCTGATGTGTCCTGTCGTTATCGTGCTGTCCCTTTGTGACGAGATACAATTTTTTTGGCAGGCATAACCAGACTCTCGTGTGTTCTGAGGATAATGTGAGTGTTTACCTGCGCAAAAGATCCTGCCGTGATGCTAAGAAGTGGTAGGTGGTTGCTAGGGTGTTGCCATGCAGTTTCAAGAGTGGTTACTAGATTTGTATTCGGGGTGGTTTCTAGGTATTTGGTGTGTAATTGTGTCTAATTGTGTCTTCTAGGTTGTATCCAGGGCATTGCTAGAGTATTCTGAGTGGTTGCTAGGGTGTTGCTATATGATTACTTTGTCATTTTTAGGGTGATCTGGGTGGTTGCTGTGCAGTTGCTAGGGTATTCCACATGGTTGTTAGGGCTTTTCTATGTAGTTTTGAAGGCCTTCTAGGTGTTGCCAAGGTGTATTCTGGGTGTTTGCTAGGGACCCTCCTTCATTGTAAGTCTATGGGTTTTTAAATGTGTTCTATGGTTTTAGTCTAAAGCGATTCTATATGTATTAAATATCGAGAGGCTTTGTCAGAGCCGATCCTAGACTTCTTGGGGCCCTACACAAAACTGTGTCGGCGGGGGGACACCTACCACTACCACTTCTTTTCAACTCGTTTAAATTTTTTTTGTCTCGTGTAAGACATTCACGTTACATGATTTTACTGATTTTTACGTAGAACGGGCAACAGCGCACCGCATTAAAAGAAATAACATAAACGGTTTTCATAACTGCTGGCCAAATTCAAAAACGAAACTTAAATTAAATCATCTTTGAGAGCAAGGGGGCCCCCTGGTGTTTCGGGGGCCCTATGCAGCTTGCGTACTTTGCATATAGGGAGGATCGGCTCTGGGCTTTGTGTACTGGTTCATTGTTAATTTTGATCTAATATCGACTGAACATCTGATTGATTTATGAGTCTCTCTCTCTCTTTGTGTGTGTGTATGTTTATGAGAAGAATCCCGCTGTGGATCAGAGGTCGTGTACGCATCCGTCAGCCAAACCTGAGTCTGCTGTGTCTCCGTACGCTTGCCAGAGACGAACGACACTGGATAACCACAATAAGATCTTTACAGTGAGTACAAACACACATGTGTGCTGAGAATCAAACTCCAACATCGTAAAGGACACTGAGATATTATTTTAAAACTGACATCACAGTGTTCTTGAGTTATTTTAATCTCTGGCCCATTTGCAGCACAGTATGGACAGAACAGAAGGGGGCCGAACCGCACGCACACACACACACGCACACTCTAACACAGACACACACACACACACACACACACACACACACACACACACACACACACACAAGTGTCTCAAACAAACAACGTCTCTCTCTCTCACACACACGCTCACACACACACAGGTTTGTTTTTATGGTTTATGGGGACTCTCCATAGGCGTAATGGTTTTTATACTGTATAAACCGTATTTTCTATTGCCCTACACCAACCCTACCCCTAAACCTACCCCTCACAGGAAACTTTCTGCATTTTTAGATTTTCAAAAAACTCATTCTGAATTATTTATAAGCCTTTTGAATTATGGGGACATTGAAAATGTCCTCATAAATCACCTTCTCGTGTTATTATACAAATTACACACACACACACACACACACACGTCCCCATTAACACACATTAGCTGCTTCAGCTGTACACTGTGCCGTTTCTCAAGACAAACACCAACACAGCCGTTTATGTCAGAACAGGGGTATATTGAACATTGTAAGGGATTGTTTGCATAACAAGACTTTCACATGTTTTCAAGAAAATGTAAGTTGCGTTTGCTTGTTCAAGGTAGTTGCTAGGGGTGTTCTGTGTGGTTACCAAGGCGTTGGTAGGTGGTTTCTAGACTGTTTTGGGTGCCAAGATGTTGCTAAATGGTTGTTAAGGTGTTCTGGGTGGTTACCAGAGCATTGCTAGGTGATTTCTAGAATGTTTTGGGTGCCAGGATGTTGCTAAGTTGTTTCCAGGGTGTTTTACATGGTTGCCAGGATGTTGCTAAGCGGTTACTTAGATGTTCTGGATGGTTACCAGGGCATTGCTATGTGGTTTCAAGGGTGTTTTGGGTGCCAGTATGTTGCTAAGCGGTTGCTAGGGAGTTCTAAGTGGTTACCAGGGTGTTGCTAAGTGGTTTCAAGGGCGTTTTGGGTGCTAGGGTGTTGCTAAATGGTTTATCTGAGTTCATCTTTAGTCAAAATATATTTTTTTAATCTCAGAAGTAATCTTTTATAATCTATGAATTTAGTCTGAGATAGCAAAATTGTACTGTGTGTATCTGACATTACTCATGGCCATCAGCTGTGGTGGGAGGTGAAAAACAGGAAAGATAGAGTCTAGTCAAATGTAGATCAACACATGCGGACATTTTTATTTTCTCACAAGAAGTGGAAATTCGGGCGTAATCGCCAGACGGCTTTTGCTTTGTCTTGCGATTTGCGTTTGGAAGGTTACAGGCCTGTTATCAGTTGTTGAGCAAAACTTCAGTCATGTTCTGCTTTAAAGATTTATTTGATACTCGAACATAAACCCATAACAGATTCACCTTTGGCTTCTGCGAGGAAAATGACGAGCAACTCTTGAGACGCTACCCAAACTGCTAAACTTTCCGCACGAGGTGCGTGTTTGGTGCCAGAATTAAACTGACGAACGCTGGCGGTTTAAGAGCTTTTGGATGCACGAGGAGTCGCTCGCTGATTATTACAGCTGATGTGTTGTGGTTCTTTGAACATTAATCAAGAGAAAAACAGTGTGAGAATATGCTTTGTTTCAGATTTGACATTTGCGTAGACTCGTATTTTGCGATCAGCAACGTTAATAAATCAATTATGATGAAAGAGAAAAACACCAAAGACTGACAGGGCGAGGTGAACCGTAACTGAGAGCACAGATTAAAATCTCTTCTGTATTTCACTGGCAAATATGATATTTTAATGGAAAACAGAGACTTGATTGTCTATTGCCAGGAGAGAAAAACACCTGCAATGCAAACACATTATTGAGAATAATGATTGAGCTGAAGAACAGCAGGGTGAGATGAGAGGAGCTCAGCGTGTTTGTGAGAGATATAATCTGTTTCGTCTTGGCTATAAATGTCATGTGTATGCATCCGAATATCCAAATGCTGCATCAAATTACAGCGTGTCTTATTGCTGTGGTTGAGCATTTTGCTTACTACATCTGAATGCATTGGTAAATCAGAGGTGTTTAACTGGTTAACTGCCGGCGCCTAGCTATCGGGACGCTTGGCACTCTTTTTGTGTTATCTTTATTACTATTACTTTTTATTTTCATTACGCTTTTTTACCCATCACAAATTTTAGCAATCATCATTAAATTAGATATCATTTGAAAGCTTAAACACCTCACAGAATTTATCTAGTGAAAATCGTTAACATCTTTGCTGAAGAAGAAGAAGAAGAAGAAGTAATATTGTGACAGGAACATGCATAAATTCTATGGAGTTTGCAAGTGGCTTTTTTAACAATCTCACAGGAACTTCCATTTTTGTGATATCAACTTCAAATTCGGAATGTAACTTGATTTTATAGCTATTTTAGGTTACAAACTATTTTGTACAATATTTATTTCAGATAAAAAAGTATTGTGGTGCATTTCTTTACAGAAAATTAAATAACTTTATACTTTAATTTTTTTGAAATGCTTCCACTTCAGCAATCAATCACGTTCTTCTTTAAAAAGAGACCAGGCTTAGGTCTGTGTTCCGAAGTGTTCATGAATTATAACAATTTATGCTCAGATTTTAAAATATTTGTTGAAGAAGAAGTAATGTTGTGACAGAAATGTATAAATTGATTAGTGAGTTTGGGAGTAACCCGATGTCTATTTTTGGTATAGCACCTAAACAAAATCTCACAGGAACCTCCGTTTTTGTAATATTAACTTACAATTTGGAACATAACTCACTTAGACATGTCGCTTTGATTTTATAGCAATTTTAGAATCCAAAATATTTTGTAAAAAAAAAAAATTCCGGTTGGGTCTGTTACATAAACTGCTTAGACTAGTCTTAAAAAGTTAGTCATCTCTTTTTTTTCCTTCGAGACTGGTCATACATTCAGTTTTAAAAGATAGATTAGTCTAATTTGAATCTGAAAAGTAAGACTGGTTAGCCAGTGACAGTTAACAGGTTAAGTTATTGTTTAGGTTTACCAGTATTGGACATGTTTTTGTTTGGTTTGATCCACATTCTGTGCATAATTGATACTGAACAGTTTTGTTTTTCATGCCGCTGATGTGAAGTCTCGGTTTACTGATGGTGAGGAGAGAGTGAGGAGAGATCAGCCTGCAGGTGTTTGGTTGACACGTAACAGGTGTGCAGGTGTCAGAAACACTGCGGCCCCGGAGCTTGATGAATCCACCAAAACACATCCTGTGATTGTCAATCACAGCACTTTTCCCGGCTCCCAAGAGTCACCGATATCGATCTGATCCTTTTGTCTTCTCTTACTCCGCACAGACTTCACCTGGAGTTTTGCATGTTTGTCCAGCAGATGCATTTCCTAAAATGAGTCAAATTAAATGTTCTAAAGAAAAGTATAGTGGTGTGTTCTGGGAGGATTTTAGCATTTTGCTAAGGTTTTCTGGTTGTTTTGGCATGATTTTTGCATGTTTAAATATATAAAATTATTAAATAATCACTTATATAGGGGTATTATTATTATTATTATTATTATTATTATCAGCAGATGCATTTCCTAAAATGAGTCAAATTAAATGTTCTAAAGAAAAGTATAGTGGTGTGTTCTGGGAGGATTTTAGCATTTTGCTAAGGTTTTCTGGTTGTTTTGGCATGATTTTTGCATGTTTATATATATAAAATTATTAAATAATCACTTATATAGGTATTATTATTATTATTATTATTATTATTATTATGTTGAATTGCTGTTATGGTTGCATATGGTTGAATGGTTGAATTTTGCATGTTTACATATTAAATTATATTTTATTATTATTATTATTATTATTATTAAATGATTTTCCCACATTATGTGATTGCTAGGGTGTTCTGGATAAATTTTATGCAATATGTTTAGTGTTCAAATCAACTGTTAAAGTAATATCAGATAGTAAAACAAAGTAATTACAACAATTATGTTATAATTTATATCGTATTATTATTATTATTATTATTATTATTATTATGTAAAATAATATAGAATAATATGTATAATTATAATTTCTTAATAATGTTATTACTGTTATTAATAATAATAATAATACTTTTTAATATTTAGACATTTTAAAACAGCTACTGTGTGTCTTTCCCCCCCCTTTCTCTTTCTCTTTTTCTCATTCTCTGTTTTTTGCATTCTGTCATCATGTTGCCATGTAAAAAAAATTTGTTACGGTTGAAAATGGTTATTATGGTTGAATTTTTGCATGTTTATATATTGAATAATATTTAATGCATTCATTTTTTTTACCATGTTTTTACCATGTTACCATGTTTACCACATGATGTGGATGCTGGATCAATTTTATGCAATATGCCTTGTGAAAAACACTATTTAAATCAACTGTTTAAATAATCATAATCATAATAATAATAATATATATATATTTTTTAATATTTAAACATTTTAAATCAGAGCTACTGTGTGTCTTTTTTCTTTCTTTTTCTTTCTCTCATTCTGTTTTTGGCATTCTGTCATCTCTACTTTCTTAAAGTTTTCTCCATCTCTCCATCTTTACCAGGTTTCCACATCAATCAATACATCCGTATGTAGCGGCACTGACCGTCACGCTGTGAAAGCACTCAGAAAAGCGTGTGTGTGAATGAATGCTGGCTGATTTAATGTGGAGGGTGTAAATAGACATTAATGAGCAGGCGTCGCTTGTTGTTTGCTTTCATCTCTTGGCCTCTGGTGCCACAGCTGCACTGACAGCAGCCTGGCAAAGGTCTTTCCCTGGCTGAATCAATCTCTCTAATGACCCCTCGCTTCATCATACAACCGACCGGGAATCACGGCCATGTCTGCTAATGAAAGCGCGGTGTTATCCGATGCAGGAGGCATCTGATGGTTGGTATTTACATCTTGCA